ACTCGCACAGGGTGGCTGATAACGGGTTACCCATGGCGAAGCCTTCCAGTTGTTTGTATATTGTGTTGTCGTATGTGAAGTAAGTGGAGTTAGCTACCAGTCCTATCAGTTGTGCTATGTCATCTGCTGTGAGGTTTGTCCTTTTATGTAAAGTTTTGTCTTGTCTGATTCTGTTAACTACTATGTCTATGGTTTTTTGGGTTGGTGTTTTTGTGAACAGAGATGTGACGTCATGTGAGATGAGTATGTCGTTGTCTTCTATTGTAATTTCCTTTAGTTCTTTTGCCAATTCTATACTATTTTTGCAGTGTTGGTCTGTATTTCCTAATAACGGGCTGATGATTCTGCTGATATCTTTTGCCATGTTGTATGTTGGTGTACCTATGCTGTCAACTATTGGTCTAAGTGGGGTGTTTTGTTTATGTATTTTTGGTGTTCCATATATTCTTGGTGTTATGTTTGCTGTGGGAATCCAGTGTTTGTACATTTTTTCTGTTATTTTGCCTTTTTCGTGCAGTGGCTTCAGTAATTTTTTCATGTTTTTCTTAATGTTTTCTGTTGGATCTTTTTTAAGTATTTCATATGTATTTTTGTCTTCTAGCATCTGTTTCATCTGTTGTTTATATTTTTCTCTGTCCATAACTACTGTGGTTCTTCCTTTATCTGCCGGTAGAATAATTATCTGTTCATTTTTGGATAAAGCTGTCATGGCTGATTGTTCTTCTTTTGTAATATTGCTGTGTTGAATTTGGCTGTTTTTTAATATCCCAACTACGTTATTTCTGAGTTCTGCTTTCTTTCCCTCATCTGTGATCTGTTGACATGCTAGTTCTGTTGCTACAATAAATTCATCATATGGTATTTCTTTTGGTGTGACTGCAAAGTTTAAACCTTTCTTTAATATGCTCTCTTCTGCTTCTGTTAGTTTGTATTGTGAAATGTTACATACCCATGAGTTTGGTGTGGAGTTGCCTTGTATTTCTCCCCTCTTTTTCTTGTTTATGAGTCTGTTTAACTTCTTTATGTGTCTTTCTTTCACTTTTATGAACTCTTGTTCCTGTTTTTCCATCATGTGTCCTTTAATGAGTTCCTCCATTTGTTTATCAAGTTTGTAATTCCTTTTCAAGTCCAGGTGTCCTCTTTCCAGTTCGTCCTCCACACGCCTCTGTTTGGTTATGACGTTCCTTATCCTCTCCTTGAGCAGTGCTCTCTGTGCTCTTTCTATTATATTTTGTGCTGTCTGGGTCCGGATCGATGTTTTCAGCTGTAGGCTTGTGGGTGTGATGTTTTCGTCCCGGCATCTTAAACAGAAGCGAAGGTGGTTTCTTAGACGTGCACGTTTCTGGTGTAATCGTTCCAAACGGCGGAAGTCCTTCGTTCCTTGTTGTCCGTATTTCTCTTTGAACATCTTAGGTGTGTTCTTGCTGTGTCTTTGTAAATCCATGCTTTCGTTCTTTTTTAAACACAGAAACAGTTTTGTTTACCTGTTTGTAGCTACGGTTTCGCCGACAGCTGCCGGCTTCTTCAGGCTGACGCTGATGGTGGCGCGTCACTTCCTTCTCCGTTTATCTGCGGGCAGTAGAGGGCGACAGCGTCCTCTACTGCCCGCAGATAAACGGAGAAGGAAGTGACGCGCCACCATCAGCGTCAGCCTGAAGAAGCCGGCAGCTGTCGGCGAAACCGTAGCTACAAACAGGTAAACAAAACTGTTTCTGTTTTTAAAAAAGAACGAAAGCATGGATTTACAAAGACACAGCAAGAACACACCTAAAATGATCAAGCACGTTAGCATATGAGCTTATATCATGTATAAATATCCAGGATATTTATATAATCGATAGAAGTTCATACACCAACCTACTTGGTCTATTTTTAATCCAAAGTTTAACGTTTAATTTAAGATAATTAAATTTAATAGCAAAAGTTTATTTATTTAATCAGAAGTTAGGAATCTTTGCTTTTTCAATAACCAGAAATACTTATACCATTCTGTGTTTCATTTCAAAGATTAGGCAACGTTTAAAAAATGAAGAATTTATTACTAACAATTTTAAACTTGGCAATTTGAAACGACAATTTAAATGACAATTAAAAATGACAATTCATGGATGACAATTTACCAGCTTAGATATTAAAACTTGTTTTAAAGGCAAACCTGTGACTGAATGAAAGCTAAATTGAAAATGAGAGCTTGGTTGCGTGAATGAATTCCCAGAAGGTTTCTTTCAGAGAGAGAAGCGCATTCTGGGTTGGAAATGATGGTTTTGCAGCTAACTGTTGTTAGAGAAACAGCATCAAACACAATCTGTGTGCTACCTCACCAAGCAAGACGACCCTCTGTGTGGATCTGAAGATCAAGGAGGATGTTGTCAACCTCAGGGTACTCGGTCGGGTATAGAAGACGCGAGTGAAACCAATCCTCTGGTCCAGAGATGTCGCAGGGTACACAGTGTCGAGTGTTTGGCTTAACTCTGAAGGAGTTTTGCGTCTTACTTAACTCAAAATCATTAACTCTGAAGGAGTCTTGCATCAGCTGGTTATCGTGCATTTATTCGAAGCTATTCTATCAGCGTGACAGAACAGCAGGTGGAGGTTGGGGCGGCCGTTCCCTTATCCTCCGGATGGTGGTTGGTTCACGAACTGAAGTTCTGCTGCTGGAATGTTTGTTTTAACAAATCCCTCAGAACACGCCCTCTCTCAGCAAGAAAGCTTTGGTCATGAGTCAGAGACATGTGATGGCAGTTACTTTTACCTTGGATAAGTTCTGAATGAGGCTGGTTACATGCGCGATGACCTTCTGGTTTGCTGAACACACATAACCAATTATCATCCATAATCATAATTATACCCAAAGCATAATAATTCATTTCAGTGATTAAAATACATTTACTGAACCAAGTCATTATTTATGATGATTATAATAACAGTAATAAATTCAAAGAGTTTATTAAAATTATTATTTAAATTATTATTCTGAAACTTGAAGTATCCTTCTTCTGGGACGGAACAGCAGCAGATAAGGATAATTTTCAGCAGACATCATGGCTCCTCGCTTGTTTAATCTGTGGGGCAAAGTCACAGTCAACCCAGCTGGGAAAATGTGACCTTTGTCACAAATTAGAGGACCTTCGTGATGCTACACTCCACATACATATTTTATGAGCATTTTTCAACTCTGGTCTCAGCGGTCCCGCCTCCAGCCAAGTCAGCGGACCCGCCTCCAGCCAAGTCAGCGCCTTCACTCCAGTCAATTCCTCTTCCAGCCAGCGCCTTCAACGCCTCCACTCCAGCCTTCTCCATTCCAGTCAACTCCTCCACTCCAGCCATCTCCTCCACTCCAGTCAACTCCTCCAATCCAGTCAGCTCCTTCAACGCCTCCACTCCAGTCTACTCCTCCATTCCAGCCATCTCCTCCACTCCAGCCATCTCCTCCACTCCAGCCGGCTCCATTCCAGTCAGCACCATCAGCGCCTCCACTTCAGTCAACTCCTCCACTCCAGTCAACTCCCCCACTCCAGCCAACTCCTCCACTCCAGCCATCTCCTCCACTCCAGCCAATTCCTCCACTTCAGTCAACTCCTCCAATCCAGTCAGCACCTTCACTCCAGTCAGCTCCACTCAAGTCAGCGCCAGGGCCAGCACCTCCACTCCAGCCAACTCCTCTGTTTCAGTCAACTGGAGGGGCAGCAGTAGCTCAACAGGTTGAACGAGTTGTCCAGTAATCGGAAGGTTGCAGGTTCGATCCTGGCTCCGAACACTTAACCCACCTTGCCTGCTGGTGGTGGTCAGAGGGACCACTTTCGCAACGTGTCCTGTCTCCCCATTCTGTTTCAGTGTCCTGTGTGCTCTTCATTAAAACCCCTTTTTTATGATCATTCTTGCCTGCCTGCCTTGTTTCTCCCACAACTTGGATCCTCAACCTCAACTCTCCCGTGCATGTGACAGGACGGGTGCAGAAAAAAGGTGAGGGGACTTCACTACTAATCCTTACTTGACATAAAGATCAAAGCCCTAATTAAACAAAGGGGTCATCATAGGGTTCATCAAAGGTCATCAATCATATGGGCATGAATCACTTTTTGACATATAGATCAAAGGGGTCATCAAAGGTCATTAATTAATCAATGAAGCTGTAAAATTTTGATGAATGGCGGTGAAATAGACTCTCTCTCTCTCTCTCTCTCTCTCTCTCTCTCTCTCTCTCTCTCTCTCTCTCTCTCTCTCTCTCTCTCTCTCTCTCTCTCTCTCTCTCTCTCTCTCTCTCTCTCTCTCAGCCTCAGTAGACATGATAGACTCCAAATAACACATGAATTATCGTTCTCACACCAAACTGCACTTAAATGATCTTTGTCCTCCTAAGAACAGCTAATGTTTATTTTTTTTGACTTTTAAAATAGCACCCCTAGATTCTTCCAACAAATTATATCTCCATAATGCAACATCAGATCCACACTAAATGTTGTGTGCTGTGTTGTGGATCACTGTTAGACCCTTCCACTGTTCTATCAGGTGACCCTTCTAGGAGAGGGAGTGATCGATAGTTTATCCTGGCAAGGGTGAAGTGGTGCAGTCCTACAGTCCTAAAAAGATGGATAAAAAGCACCTGGGGCCCATCTGCCCCATTAACAATGTGAGAGAGTCATCACATCGGTTTGGTAACTTTACAATACCCCCCCCCCAAATTAGAAAGCGACCCCTCTCAAAATAGAAAGCGACTATAGCAGCTGTTTAAAAGCTTGGATTTTCACATAGTGGGGGCTCAGCAGAGCACTGATGACTAAAGACATGAAGAGGGTTTGAGATGCTGATGCCGCGGCTGTTCACATTGGCCTATGACACATGGCCTCTATCTTTTGCCAGATGTCAGGTCCCTTTCAAAATTTCTTCAGGAATTTTCTAGTGAATGTTTTATTAGGCTCAAGATTGCTGGTGTTGTTTACTTTTGAAAATGTGTTGCAATTTTCTCTTTGTTATTGTTACAATCTGATTGTGTTTGCTAGGTGACAGATATTACTAATGTGAAGAACATCACCCGGTTACCTCGGGATACCAAGCGACAGGCAGTGGCCATGGTGTTCACAGATGGCACCTCACGAACCTTCAGTTGTGACTCAGGTAAGGCCGGAAACACAGACCCATGCAGCCTTAGTAGGTAGACCAGGTGTGGGCAACATTTTCCCATCAAACAGCCATTGTTACCCTTTCCCACAAACTGGGAGCCACAGTAGCCTCTAATATTTTCGTGAGCCGCGTCAATTCTGGCAGGAAATCAAACTAAATCGGAGGAGGCAGACCGGTGAATTTAACAAAATAAAGACATTTTGCTAAATAAAAGACTGTGTTTGATAATTGTGATAATTTTTCTGTATCTAAACCAGACTAGAGAGATGAAAATAAACAAAGATACACACATACACACACACTCCTGCGGAGAAACCAAGCCCCCACAATGCGGGACAGAAATTGAGGCCAATGCGGAAGTGAAATAAATTGCAGTTCCACCCTCATCCACTAGGGGCTGGTGTCAGAAGCGAGCAAATCCCCATAGACTCACATGTTAAAAATACCAATTTCACAGCAGAAATAAACATGTTTACAGCCTGGTACCAAAACATGTTTTTGGTTTAAATGATCTAGTTTACACTCATGACAACTCTGAGGGGGGTGAATTTTTTTCTCACTCTTCTGTTTAAGTGTATTAAAAGCCTAAAATTCCGTATAATTAATGAGCATCAGACCCACGTGACCGCAGAGCTAGCTCCGGGGAAAGGCCTCGGTCTGAGCATCGGCGTCGCCTGAAAACTTCCGTCATTTTCAGTCTCTCAACTTGGACCATTAGTTGTGCCGTTTGTGTATTCTTTTTTGGATATTATTTGTGCATTTGTTGGACAAAATGACTTGACGTGGGATTAATTGCACTAATAGAGCGTCCAAGAGCCTCCACTTCATTTTTTTCAGTAAGTAAAATTATATTTATGTATTTTAGGTCACTGCTGAGCTGAGCTTAGATTTTAACATGTACTGTTTAACCATGAAAATTAAATGTAATAGGGTAAAACCCAGTGCATTTAACATAATGCTGCACTTTAGAAAATGGGTTGAAATATAACATGTTGGTGGAGCTGGGTTCCGACTATCGGCTTGTGGAGCTCTCGGGAGACCGATGTTTTCCACCCGTTCTCCCCTCCCCGCAGCTCGGCGCATCTCTGTCTAATTGTGGCTCCTGTCTGCTGCGCAGGCTGCCGGCTTGTGGAGCTCTGGGATGGAAACCTTTCCACCCGGTTCTCCCCAGCGGCAGCTCTGCGCATCTCAGATTGCAGCGGCGCTTGTCTGCTGTGCGGCTGCCGGCTTGGGGAGGTCTCGGAGACCTCTGTGTTCCACCCGTTTTTGTCCCAGCGGTCAGCCCGGCGCATCTCTGTCTGATCGCGACTCCTGTCTGCTGTGCAGGCTGCCGGCTTGTGGAGCTCTGGGATGGAAACCTTTCCACACGGTTTTACCCAGCGGTCAGCCCGGCGTATCTCTGACTCAGAAGCTCTGGTGTTGTGCACAGTTAACTCCAGTTGTAGAGAGGTTGCTACCTCCGTTAGCTTAGCTCCCACTTCTGTGTTAGCTTTGGGTTAGCTTCAGGTTAGCTTGTAGCTAGTTCGACCGGGTGTCGTCAGTTGATCCCAGCCTTACAGCCCCACCCTCAGCTCCTCCTCTCTTCCCTTTTATGGAATTGTCTGGCCACCTCCCATTTTTCTTCAACAATGTGTTATTGGAGTCTATTGAAACCCATTGTCCAATATTTATATGTCGATGGGAGAAACACAGCGTTTCCGTAAGTTTAAATGCCACAGACTCTAGGTTATTTTCTTAACCATTTAGAAAGATATCAACAAGCAGGGCAAACTGGTCACACACACACACACACACACACACACACACACACACACACACACACACACACACACACACACACACACACACACAGCAAAGGTTTGGGAAACAGTAGGCGTGAGAAGAAGTGCTTGTCAAAAATTCTCGCCTTCTGTGAACAGAGGAGGAGCGGGCAGTGCGTGAATTTCGTGAGCGATCCGCTTTGCGGTGCTACGCAGCTGGTGTGTTCCGGGCGTAAGACAGTAGAGAGCTGCTTTAACCATCACAACAGGTGATAGCAGCCAATACCGGTCGCTCGTGTACGCCAAAGTTATCTTTCAGCAGAAAATAATTAATAAAACAATTTGTATAAAATTGATCCAGAAGTTGAAGCCCGTCTGTGTCTGAAATATTTAGTGATATTAATAGGTGAGGTGTCGCTTTTTGACGCGTCACACCTGTCTCCTTTTAAACATGTTTAAACTGTTCAGAATACAAATCCAGGCTCTGTCTCGTTGGATTGTTGTAATTAAACTGGTACTGAATGACATTTACATTAAACCATGTTGAAAAGGTGAGAAAGGAATCCGATCAATTCGTTTGCAGTGATGGAGATAACGGTGCAGTGTGCATGGCTCTGGCGTTAAACAAGTTTAATATTTCTTTTTGCGACAATCTTCACAAGAAGGCAAAACTGTTAAATAACAGGGTTCACACTGACCGGATGTTTCCCATGTTTCACCGTTTATTTCCTCAGAGACAGAATAGAAAGAATTTCCCCGACGTTGACATTTTAATCGTTACGCACATCGCAGATGTAGCTGAATCAATCAAGAAAAGATTCCCATCTGAGCATCTGAGCTGGACACTTCTCAGCGCAGCTCGCTGTCAGCGCGTATGTGAGGTGCACAGCCAGTTGAAGATGTGTAGATCGGGGGCTTGGAGCGTGTCGCAGTACCAGAGCCATGCGGGAAGATTCCTCTCACTGAAGCGAGTGTTGTCGAAACCCGGTCTCTCAGAGAGACTTGTCACTTAGAAAATGTTACTGATTATGGAACTTTGGCTGAATAGCGCTTGTTCCTATCTCCAATGTGGCGATGCATCCACGAGCCTGTCTGAGAGAAAAGTCCAAAATCTCACATCCTCTTCAGCTCAGAAAGCTCCTGTGGAGACATCTGATTACGCACAAGCAGGTGACCTGTTAACCAGGTCCCACGTGAGACCGGGTTGGACCTGTTCAGGTTTACGGACAATCTTTACATTTAGAATTGGCATACAGATAAAACATGAATGCGATAAAATATAAAATATTCATTATTTTACAAGCACAGAGAGCCTTCAGATGGATGAAAAAGCCACATGCGGCTCCAGAGCCGCGGGTTGCCCACCCCTGAGCTAGACTGTAGAAGATGTTCACAGCATGATGGAAACAAGCAGCAGGACTGGAGTGAAACTCAGGCCAGGGCTGTTTTTCAGACCTGGAGGCAGAGGACTGGTTCAAAGTACTGTCAATCGAAGGCCTCGGGATACGTCTAAATGACATCAGTACGGGGGAGCCTGACCTCCTGGCAGCTGGGGTGCAGTGTGAACACACAGGTACTACACACACACTCACACACACACAGGCAGATACAGAACAAGCATGCAGCACCCACCAAAACCCGTTTCTGAATGGAAAATAAAAGTGAGAACCTGAATGAAAACATGTTGCTTTTAATACTGATGTCACACTACAGACTTACAGACACATTTACATTGTTATTGGTGCATTCATATGTCTTTAACTAGCAGAGCAGAGCACTGCCAGCTGTCACAACTACCTTTGTCTCTGCTACACACCTCACCTGTCCTTCTACTAAACACAAGCCTGCATGCAACTTATAGATTATTGCCACTAATAAGAGAATGCAGTGTATATGGCTGTAACTATTTAATCTCAGTTAACAGGATCATTTGTCGACACTACTTTTATTATCATTCAAATCTTTTTCAAACCTGTTTTCATGAACAGGCTGCGGTGGGCACAGCTTTGGGAAATAAATAGTTCAAGTATCACATCAAACAGCCATAAAGATTGTTTTTAGTCTGAAAACAAGTTGTTGAAATGATGCAACTAAATCCTCCTTCTCCAAACCAGCAGCCTCATGACCTGTATAGGAAAGGTGGCTGGCAGCAGACCACAAATGTCTTGTTTCCTTCCCTTACATTAGATCTCTGTTTGGGTGACTGGTTAGCACGCGTGACTTTCACCCGGGAGTCTGGGGATAGAATCCTGATCCGACCAATTTTTATATCTGTCACAGATCTCTCTGAAGAACTCAGCATTGACGGCTTCAGCAACACTGTGCCACTCCGTGGATTTTCTCTTATTTGTTTGGCAAAAGCACTTCCTTTCATTTCTCCACCTCACCCACAAGTACCTCAAATTCTGCTTCTGTGAAATTGCGCTTCCTTGATCTGCCTTGATCTACGGTCGCCATGTCGTTGGCGGAGCGCTGCAACAGCCAGCTTATGTATATGCATGAGATCCACAAGGCACTTTGCATTGACCACTTATGGCAGTAAGTGGGCGTGGTGAGGGCGGGATGTGACTACAAAGCAGCTGAGAAACATTCTCGTTAGTCTCCGATTTATGAAGCGGAGATTGCGTGCAGCTGTGCGTACTCCATGTTTGATAGATCACAAACCTACTTGGCGTAAGTACATTTTTTGCTGAGCTTAAGTACGGTTTTAGTAAGGATTCTACGCTATGTTTGATAAATGAGACCCCTGGGCCTTCCAATGGACACAAATCTGTCCAAGGTGCTTTACTGCAAAAACACTGCTAACTCAGTCTTGATTGTTTTTTCTTTCCTCAGAGCGTTTCAATGTGTTTCTCCTTCCATGTCCCAACCTGGACATTTATGGGGAGTGTATGATGCAGATCACCCGAGAAAATATCTACCTGTGGGACATCCACAACCATCGCAACAAGCTGGTCACCTGGCCTCTCTGCTCGCTGAGGCGTTACGGACGCGATGCTACTCGCTTCACCTTTGAAGCTGGACGGTGAGGCTAAGAGTCCAAACTGGACCCCGATAATTACTCAGTTGCTATGAGTTTAAGTGTTATGGAGTTACAGTGCTCAGCATTAATAAGTACACCCCATTTAAAAAGTATGAATTTAACCAGCAGCTCAATGAACAAGGCTGGTTTTACTGGACACTTGTTTAGCTCCATAACATGAAATTATGGTTAATAATATAATTTAGATCACAAAATCTTCAGTTTCACTAAAATTGGCTAAACCAAAAACTACTACATGTAGGATTTTGTATGACCACTGTGATTTTCTTTCTTTTTCCCCCCCGTGTCCTGTCTGGCTGTGAAGCAAACAGGATTACGGACACGGAGACATAGGCGAAAAGAGAAAGGAAGAGACAAAAGGTGTGTGTGTGTGGGTGGGTGGGGGGGTGGGGGGATAAATCAATGATAACCAAGAGTCTGCTTCTAGACCTGCAGAAAAGGGACACACAAAAATACAACAGGAGCAAGCTATAACTGCATCAACCTGATGAAAAAATATAAAATGAACATTGTTTTATTTTAAGCCCCTGCCACCCTTGAGAGGCCCAGAGGATTGCCCTGGGGGGGCCACAACCAGCAGCCGGCAGAGTCTCGGGGGATATCAGCGGCAAGCCCACAGGCCCGCCCGCAGCCTCCCACCCCCCAGCCGGCCAAGCCTGGGAACCAGCAGTCCGGGACCCAGGGGTGACCACCCCCGCCAGGGACCCAGCTGAGCCCAGGGACCCAGTTCCTACCAGGCAGCCACCGGGATTAATCAGGCAGATGCTAAAATTTGTAAACCCCCTGACCCGGGAGCCACGAACATTCAGGCAGACCAAGGCACCGCACTCCACACCAGGTGTGGCAGGGGGAGGGGAGATGAAGATGTATAGCATCAAGTGAAGTCCCAGGAGAAGGGAGGAGTCAAAGGCCCCACCTGACATATACAGTCATACACAAACACAGTCACACACTCCCTCCCTCATGCTCACACATACACATGCAACCAAAGACTTACAAAAATGCACGCCGGACACCCACTCATGCTCCTCATACACACCCTATACACTCTGGTCCCGGTAACGCTGCACATGGGGTACAACCATTATCGGTTCCCAGAGTTTAACCCATTCTGCTGGGGTGATGATGAGCAGGCTCCCCCGCCCAACACTGAGCACAGCAACCCACCACCCCAGACCCCAACCGGACGGCCAGATCTCCCTCCTAGCCTCCAGCCCCAGGAAGCCAAGCGACAACAGAGGTGTGCTAAGACCCCTAGTCTCCCTCCACCTGCTCCAATATAGTGTTGTGTGTTCATGAGGTGTATTCCATGGCTGTGGTGAGCGGGCAGTGCGGGCATCGTCTGGCCTATGCCAACTGATGCCACCACACCACCCCACTTGCACCCACAGCCCTCTGTCTAAGTGCAGTTTAAAATTGGAAGTGGGCATCGACACTCAGGATGAGGCTGAAAAATCCCCCTGCCAAATGACGTTGAATGTGCTCACTCCCAAAGCCCTAAGTGTGTGTTTGCGTGGAATGTCGTTGGTGGAAGTGTTTAAGGTGCAAATAAAATTGGGGGACAGGTTGCCACAGGAATGTGGAAATGGGGTCCATAACTGCACCCCCTGACTTGTCCACCCGCCAAGGTCCTATGTGCATATTGCAGATTGTGTGATGATTTGAGGGAGCAGGAGGAGAAAAATGTGTGGGGATGGGGAGGAATGGCTGGTTGGACTTAAGCCCTCCAGGGAGCCAGCTCCCCCACTGGCCCCAATAGGCACCTCTGTTGCCAAAATGCCATTCAGGGAACGGAGACCCCAGCCCATCTTGCCAGGGCCCAAAGCAGCAGCATTGCAGAGCCTCACGGAGTCCGAGGTTACCAACCCAGCCCCATCCCAGCAGAATATCTATGCCCATCCCTGCATTTGCACATATTCCAGAATATATAAGACATAGGACATCCAGTTAAGGTTTGGTCCTCCCCCTCCTGGACATCCCCCTTCCCTGTGATGGGACAGCAGTGGAGCCAAGGTGTACCCGAGGCCCCGCCTTCTTCCCGGCAGCATACATGTCAGGACCCAACCCCCAAGGCCCCGCCCAGACCCCTACACGGGGCCGGCCACCCCCACATCCCGAGCCCCCAGGCCCCCACCCAGACCCGCTTAGGGGCGATGCAGTTGGCAGGCAGTGACTCATGGCCACCGCCAAGACGCCCAAGGGGCCCCACTTACAACCGCCAGTAGTCCACCCCCTGAGGCAACCCAAGCACCTCCAGAAGGGGGCAGAAGCCCCCCTGTCCCAGACACCCCCAGTGAACCCACCTCCAGGAAACGTCCGGATACTCCAAACTCAGACCATCCACCCTATCACCCACATATTCCTGCAAGACAATATCAATTACCCCCCATCATCGCTATGTGATGGAACCGATCAAAGGAGCCCAGAGGGATTGATTTGAAGTTGAAGCAGAGGCTGTATCAAGTGCAATATGATCTAACAAAACATTTCTATACTGGTTGATGCAAACAGTATCTCTATTTTTCCAATTCATGAGGATAGTTTTCTTAGTGATGCATATGACAGTCAGAACCACATGAACCAAAGATGTTTCAACCGGGACATGGTACAGGTTTCCCAGTTAACAAAGAGAGGGGGAAGTTGGGATATGACATTTCAGACACTTTGACCTCCTCCTTGAACCGTCACCTTATCGTGGTGGAGGAGTTTGAGTGCCCTAATGATCCTAGGAGCTATGTTTTTGGGGCACTTTGTGCCCCTTGTAGGGTCTCCCATGACAAATTGGTCTTAGGTGAAGGGTAAGACAAAGAACGGTTCAGAGGATCTTTCATGGATATACAATCAAAGAGTCGGAGTACCTGGCCCGGAGGGTTACCGGGGAGCCACCCTGGAGCCAGGCCTGGGGTTGGGGCCCGTGAGCGAGCGCCTGGTGGTTGGGCTTTCGCCCATGGGGCCCGGCTGGGCCCAGCCCAAATCAGATACATGGGCTCATCCAACTGTGGACCCACCAACCGCAGGAGGAACATGAAGGGTCCAGTGAAGTGTGGATCGGGTGGCAGACTGAGGCGGGAGCCTTGGCGGTCCGATCCCTGGACAACGAAACTGGTTTTTGAGACATGGAACGTCACCTCGCTGGCGGGGAAGGAGCAGGAGCTTGTGGCAGAGGTTGATCGGTGCCGGCTATATATAGTCGGACGCATCCTCGACACATAGCATTGAGTCTTGAACCCAAATCCTTGAGAGGGGTTGGACACTCTCCTTTGCTGGAGTTGCTCCGGGTGAGAGGTGGAGGCCTGGGGTTGGCATTTTGTTAGCCCCAAGACTCTGCCTGTGTGTTAGGGTTTACCCCGGGGGATGAGAGGGTAGCTTCCATGCGCCTTCGGGTCGGGGAATGGGTCCTGACAGTGGTTTGTGCTTATGGGCCAAATATCAGTTCAGAGTACCCACCCTTTTTGGAGTCCCTGGGATGAGTGCTAGATAGTGCTCCATCAAGGGACTCCATTGTCTTGCTGGGGGACTTCAATGCTCACATGGGCAGTGACAGCATGACCTGGAGGGGTGTGATTGGGAAGAACAGCCCGCCTGATCTGAACTCGAGTGGTGTGTCGTTATTGGACTTCTGCGCAAGCCGCAGTTTGGCCATAACGAACACCATGTTCGAACATAAGGATGCCCATCAGTACACTTGTTACCAGGGCAGCCTAGATCGCAGGTTGATTATAGACTTTGTAGTTGTATCATCTGACCTGTGGCCGTATGTTTTGGACACCCGAGTGAAGAGAGGAACGGAGCTGTCAACTGATCACCACCTGGTGGTGAGTTGGATCAGATGGCAGGGGAAGATGCCGCGTAGACCTGGCTGACCCAAAAGCATAGTGAGGGTCTGCTGGGAATGCCTGGCAGAAGAACCTGTCAAGACGGTCTTCAACTCCCACCTCCGGCAGAGCTTTGACCGCGTCCCGAGAGCAGTGGGGGACATTGACTCTGAGTGGGCCTTGTTCCACTCTGCGATTGTTGAGGCGGCTGTTGCTAGCTGTGGTCGCATGGTGGCCGATGTCAGTCGTGGTGGCAACCCCCGTACCCGCTGGTGGACAACAGAGGTTCGGGGAGCCGTCAGGCTGAAGAAGGAGGTCTGCAGGGCGTGGCTGGTCTGTGGGTCTCCGGAGGCAACAGACAGGTACCGGATAGCCAAGCGGGGTGCAGCAGTGGCAGTTGCCGAGGCAAAATCTCGGACGTGGGAGGAGTTTGGTGAGGCCATGAAGAAAGACTATAGATCGGCTCCAAAGAGGTTCTGGCAAACTGTCCGGTGCCTAAGGAGAGGAAGGCAGCAACTCGCTCACACTGTTTACAGTGGGAATGAGGAGCTGCTGACGGCAACTGGGGCTACAGTCGGACAGTGGAAAGAATACTTTGAGGAGCTCCTCAATCCCACCTACGCGCATTCCAAGGAGGAACCTGAGCCGGGAGATCTGGGTATGGACTGTCCAATCTCGAGGGCGGAAGTTGCTGAGGTAGTCAAACAACTACACAGCGGCAGAGCCCCGGGGGCGGTTGAGATTTGTCCTGGGTATCTCAAGGCTATGGATGTTGTAGGGCTGTCATGGCTGACACGTCTCTGCAACATTGCGTGGTCATCGGGGGCAGTTCCTGTTGAGTGGCAGACCGGCGTGGTGGTCCCCATCTTTAAGAAGGGTGACCTGAGGGTGTGTTTCAAGTATAGGGGGATCACACTCCTCAGCCTCCTTGGAAAGGTATACTCCAAGGTACTGGAGAGGAGGGTCCGATCGATAGTTGAATCTCAGATTGAGGAGGAGCAATGTGGTTTTCGTCCTGGCTGTGGAACTGTGGACCAGCTCTATACCCTTGCAAGGGTGATGGAGGGGGCATGGGAGTTTGCCCAACCAATCCACATGTGTTTTGTTGATTTGGAGAAGGCTTATGACCGTGTCCCCAGGGGCACCCTGTGGGGGACTCTCCAGGAG